CCCCGTAGACATTTGGGCTTGCCACCACACTAACCCAAGAACGCATGCTTCCCTGCATCTTTTCTGAGCCCCAGTTTCTGGGGATGGATGTGGCCATGGCCTCCTATCCAGGCAGCCCTGGCCCCACGCCTCCCTCCCTTACCTGTCCTGCCACCTAGCCAGAGGAAGGGGAGGCTGGAATAAGGTCCGTGCACACATCAGCCTAATGAATCCTCACCACAAGCTGATGAGGGAGTTACTATATTTTCATTTTGCAGATAAGAAAACTGAGGCTCAGGCAGGTTAAGGAGATCCAGCTAATCAGTGATGGAGCCCTGCCTCTCCAACTCGCTTGAGGAGCTTTGCAAAGAGAGGGCTTTCTGGAACTTGCTCCAAACTTACGGGATCCAAGGCTCTTTCGTGGTGGGGCTGGGGAACCTGTCATCTTAAAAAGCTCTCCTGTATGATACTGGCCAGGTTTGGGCCTTGCTGCACTTGACCACTTGGGACGGAGGTGGGGGCTCTGTCTCTGCTCCAAGGGCGGTAAAGGGATGATCACATTTCCTCCCAAATCCAGATGTCACCCCAGATTTGCTGCACAGTTAAAGCCAGCTAGCTGCTCTCCTGCTCCACACCTGAGTTTGCCCATGTGTGGAAGGAGAAAATAGCTCCAGCCCCTTTCCTGCCTTCCAGGAACGGGAATGAATAGGAGGGAAGACCCCCCTCTTCTCTCTGTCCCAGACCCAGAGTGGGCAGGACTTGTCAGGGCCCGCAGGGAGGCAGGGAGGCAAGGCTGGTGGGGGCAGAGGCCTCAAGGTGCTGAAGCCTTTCCTCTTACCCCTGCTCTGTACTCATTCCTCATTCCACAGGGCCCTGGACTTTCTCCAGCTGCTCTGCCCCCCTCCCCTGCAGTGGCCAGGTGCCTCAGCCCCCCTACCCCCCAATCTGGGTCTCCCTTGCAGGTGGAAATAGCTGACAACAGTGGCAGGTTGGGAGCAACCACAGTACCAGACACCTTTGGATTTGGGAGAGGGGGTCAGTGAGACGGCCCTATATAGAGATGCACTTGAGCTTGGACATGCCTGGGTTGGATCTTGGCTGTCTGGTGTTTAGTTTAGCTGTGTGATCTCCTTATATTCTCTGACCTCAGCCTCTGCGTCTGAAAACAGGAGGTAGAGGGGAGCGCTGTCTCTATAGGGAAAGGTGGGGATCAGGTCTGGCTTGCTCAATGCCACGTTCTCAGCTTGTGGGATCTTAGCAATTCAATAACCCATTGGGGAGTCAAATGACTATTAATTAAATAAGAAAATGCACATGAAGCCCTTAGCTCGGAGCTCAATGAGACTCAGTCAATGAGACTGTAGCAAATGCTCAGTAAGTACCAGCTACTATTGTTGGCAGGCTACAAAGGGAGGCACACGGGACCATGAGACTCAGGGAATTCCAGAATGGGTTCAATCTGAGATCCCAGAACCTGAGAGGCCCCGGGAGGTCCCCAGGCGCCCACTCAGGGACATCAACGGCATCATCTGGGCGGTTCCTCCATACGCCTTTGCCGCCCTGCCTTGTCTCTGGGGGCCTCTCTGACTCCCTAGCACTGCTGGGTTTTCCCACCCGGAATTTAAAAAGGAAAAGCGGAGGAAGTTGCAGCCCTTTGCTGAACCATCTAACCAGACCTAATTAATCGATAAGCCAAGCTGCCGCTTTCCTGCCAACCAGCTGCCTGAAGAGTACTTACTTCATCTGTGAATGGATTGCCGTACTTTCGCCACCACTACGTCTAATCCCCGCCACCCGCAGAGGCTGGGTGCCAAAGGGAGCTGGGAGCTGCTGAGCAGGGGCTGCCCTTCCATCTTGCCAGGGAGACGTGGTCTCCAGGCACCCAGTCCTCAAGTTACAGGTGGGAAACTGAGGCCCGGAGAGGGGTGGAGAGGGGCAGGGCTGGGACCGGCTCACCTGGCCCCAGATCACCTAATGAGGTGGAAGGAGGGCTGTTGACCACACTCCTGAAGATGAGGGTCCCCCTGCAGGAGCCCGAGGCAGATCAGAAAGGCGGATGCAACTCCCAGAAGGTGTGGGGATCTGGTTCCAACCACCACATAGTGCTAAGCTGGCTGGGACTGCACAGGGAAGGAAGGGTCTTATACTAGCCACTGCCTCCCCAGGGCAGGCAGGGGTCACCGAGAGGACCAGAGGCCCAAACCCTAGACACAGATCAGAGAGCTCCATCCTTGACCCCCAGCTTCCACAACAGTGGCCATTTATCAGGTGGTTTCCAGAACATTCCTGATTTAACATATCCTGCCCCAAGCAGGGGAGGGTTAGAAGTCACAGGTGTCAGAAATAGAGGCCCCTGCACATGCACCTGTCAGCCTTGACCCTGAACCACCTCGTCAACCACTTGCCTTTGCCTTGGCCCCCCTGGAATACACACGCAGAGTCCAAGTGAAATAAAAGGCAAACACGAGCTGAAAACAACAGCCCCACTCTGCAGGCAGGACCACAGTGATCTGTCAGCACACAAGCTCCTAGCCTTTGCCCCGAGCCCCTGATGCTCTTCCTGTGCCTGGACAGATTTCTTTCCAACGTCTCCCCAAGATGTAGAAATTACGCACACGGGTGTATTATACGTTTTACAGAAGAGGGATTATACTAGACACACCATGCAACAAATTGCTTTTTCCTCTCATCAGTAATTCTATACTTGGGGTCTTTGGAGCCTGCTGTGGAAAGACGCCCCTGGCGTATGTTGTCCCAGCAGGGTTCTTGGTGGGACCCCTGCCCACATGGCCTAAGCCATGTGCCCGATCCTGATTATGTCCCACCTTAGCCCGTTTAACTGTCACCACCATCCAATGAGAAGGGCGTGATTGTTATCATCCCCATTCCACAGGTGGGGAAACTGGGGCACAGAAGGGTCCTTGTCTGGGGTCTCACAGCCCGTGGATGGCAGTGCCAGGAATCCAACAAGGCTGTCTGGCTCCGGAACCGTGCTCCCAACCAGCCAGTGTTTTCAGACTAAGGCACGCATCAGAATCCCCGGACGGCTCACTGGAACACAGATTGCTGGGCCCACCCCTGGAGGTTCTGATGCAGTAGGTCTGGCGTGGGGCCTGAGAACTGGCATTTCTAGGAAGTTTCCAAGCGCTGCTGATGCTGCCGGTGTGGGAGTCATACTAGGAGAGCATCACACGCTGCTGCCCCTTATCACTGACCACTCGCTGACCCAGGGATGAGGCTTCCCCGAGCCTCTCCGGAGCGCAGACCAGGGTGTTAGGGAGCAGGCTCAGGGATAGAGTTCTTGCCCCTACAGACCGCACATGATCTGTTGAAGGAACAAATGACCCAGATATCATGGAGTCACTTAATCATCCGCCATCTTTCCTGGGGATCAAAGGCCTAGTTTTTATCTATGATGGTCTTTTGCCTTCGGCCAAAGTGGCCTAGAAACATACTCTTCTCCAGAGCTGTGAGTAAAGGATGAACTCAGCATGTGTGGGTTGTCCACACCCTGCATATGCCAAAGAAAAGTCTGGCCCTTGACTGGCTGCTGTGAGGTAATCTCTGAGCCATTGGAATGTCTTGCCTGTTAAGTGTCTTTGTTTACCTGGGGCTTTGGGACACATTAGTTTGGTTTACGGTGATGATATGATTTATGGCAGGGGGCTTCTAGGTCAAGGGATTGAAGACCAAGGTCAACCATACAGGCAGTCAGCCATGCCTACATGATCAATTCCCAAAAAAACCTTGGATACCAAGGCTTGGGCAAACTTCCCTAGCTGGTGCTATGTCACACATGTGATCACACATCATTGCTGGGAGGACTGAGTACTGTCTGCAGGACCGCACAGGGAGAGGATAAACAGAAGCTCGCACTGCGGTCTCCAGGACCCCACGCATGGACCTTTGTCTGTTGCTAACTTTAATCTCTTTTTCAGTGTAATAAACTGTAACTGAGAGCATACTGTTTTGCTAGGTTCTGTCCTTCTAGAAAATCATTGAGCCTAAGGGTGGTCTTGGGGACCCCCAGACACAAGCACCAATTCACTGAGTTGCTGGACGGTTACAGAGTACCTCCTGAGCGAATCGGCTTTTGCCCACACCCTGCCCACATTGCCCAGCTCCACTGGTCTCCTCTAGACCTTCCAGCCCTCCAGGCCCTCCAGAGGACATTTATCATCCATCATTCACCTCCCTCCATGGAAAAACCAGGTGTCTTGTCTGTGCAGCCCTGGCCACCATAGGCAGCCCCTTTGATGTAATACCAGGTACCATCCCAGGTACCAGGTAATGTCCCAGAAACCAGGTCATATCCTGAGTATCAGCTAACATCCCAGGAACCAGGTAACATCCCAGGAACCAGGCAACATCCCGGGTACCAGGTAACATCTCGAGAACCAGGTAACATCCTGAGTAACAGCTAACATCCCAGGACCTGGGCAACATCCCAGGACCCAGGCAACATCCTGGGAACCAGGTAACATCCTGAGTATCAGCTAACACCCCGGGACCCAGGTGACATCCCAGGACCCAGGCAACATCCTGGCAAACAGGTAACATTCTGAGTACTAGCTAACATCCCAGGACCCAGGCAACATCTGGGAACCAGGTAACATCCCAGGAACCAGGTGACATCCCGGAAACCAGGGAACATCCTGGGAACCAGGTAACATCCTGAGTACTAGCTAACATCCCAGGAACCAGGTAAAATCCCAGAAAACAGGGAACATTCTGGGAATCAGGTAACATTCTGAGTACCAGCTAACATCCCGGGACCCAGGTGACATCCTGGGAAACAGGTAACATCCTGAGTACTAGCTAACATCCCAGGAGCCAGGTAAAATCCCAGAAAACAGGGAACATTCTGGGAATCGGGTAACATTCTGAGTACCAGCTGACATCCTGGGACCCAGGTGACATCCTGGGAACCAGGTTACATCCTGAGTACCAGCTAATATCCCGGGACCCAGGCGACATCCCAGGACCCAGGTAACGTCCCAGTACCCCCCAGCAGGCCTTACCTGCCAATGACCTCGATGTTGGAGATGGCATAGAAGTACTTGTAGAGGTTCTCCCGCTGCACGTAGGTGCCCCCCAGCGCAGGGCGCAGCAGCCGCATGCGCAGGTCCGTGAGGGTGAAGAACTCCTTAAGGCCCTTGGCGCTCTCCAGCCGCGTGTAGAGGTTGCCCATGTTGCGCAGGTCGGGGCCCGCGAAGATGGCCAGGCGGTCCCGCACCTCGAAGCGCACGTGCTTCTCCTTCTTGGAGCCCGCCCAGCGCGAGTACTCCTCGGTGCACAGCACGCGGTGGGCGCCCGAGGACGACAGGTCGCGGGCGCGGCGCGCCACCATGCCGAAGGCCTCCATGCAGTCCTCCGCGTAGAACTGGTAGGGCTGCCACGTGCGCCCGTTGTCCAGGGACTTCTCCAGGACCATGACCGTGGGCCGGCCGTACTCGAAGGTCACCACCACGTCGTCCGTCAGCTCCACGCTCTTGTTCCACGAGAGGGTGATGTTGGCTTCCAGCGGGCTCGGGTAGCGGCTCCACGTGACGCTCTGCCAGTACGTGGCCAGGCCCTCATCCTCCTTGTCGAACATGAGCCGGGGCGGGTGGGCCAGGTCCGGGTTGGAGGCGTCACACTCGTTGCTGCACAGGTAGGGGTTCTCCTGCGGGAGGAGGAGACGGGAGGGGTGGGCGCTGACAGCTCGGGGGGGGGGGCGGGGGGCGGGGCCGGGGGCGGGGCCCGGGAGACTCCACCCGGCCCGGCCCCAACTGTGCGCCCGCCCCGGGCATCTGCCCGGAAGTGGCAGAGGGGTCCGGGCACCAGGAACCTCTGCTGGGCCGGTGATTTGTACCCATTTCCCTAAAGCACATAGAGGCATGCAAGTCTATGGCTTCCCAAGAAAATGCACACTTGCCCCTACTCCAAATACAGACAATCAAGAAGGGCGGGTGTTAGTCACCTGCTCCCAAGGCCCCCATGGTTCCTCATGGCCTGCAGGTGAAGTCCTGCCTCTTCAATGCGACTCTTTAGTACTCTCCTTCCACCATACCTGGAGCCACCGTTCTCCCAGGGCCCGGCCCACCAGAGCGCTCCTGCCCTCCACACCCAGCTCGTCTGCGCCTCTGAGCCTTCGCAGACCGTATTCCCTCTCCTCCATGTGCCCTTCCACTCTCTGTCTGCCTTGAAAATTCCTACTCACATTCTTAACTCTTTAAACATCTCCTACACCAAGACGCCTTTCTGACCCTTTAAACCAATAGCATTATAGCAACAGGAATGAGGTAGGAGGGGAAGTCGAAGTCTCCGCCCGCGATGTATATTAGTTACAGACCTCCTCGCCTCACTGCGCCCGTCTGCCGTCTCACTTCCGAACACAGAATGCGTGTATTAGCTCCACACTCTGGATGAAGGAACCCAGGCTCGGGAAGGTGGGGGCCCTGGCCCAAGGCACCGCCCAAGCGCCAGGAGCCATGCCTTGGCGTCTGCTGCAGAGCATGGCAGTCACGCCCGCCTCTGCCCCGTGGCCTGTGCGCCCACCTCATGCGTAGTCTGGGCGCGCTGGGAGCATGCTGAGTGTCTACAGGCTCCTCTCACGGGGGTGCATCGTTGTGGCGAGTCGTTTCCAGGGCCTTGGCACAGGCCCGGCGGGCTCAGTGGGGGAAGCTGGCTGCGGAAGGCAGGGCACAGCCCCCACTTGCACTCTCTCCTCCCACCTACCCCAAGAAGGCTGGCAGCCCACTCCCGGGCCCAGCGGGCGCCCGCCGTGGCTCCCCTCCATGGCAGTTCAGATCCATTCCCCGTGTCTGTTCGCTGCCTGAACTCACCCGGAGGCCTGGAAATGTCACCAACGCGCTGGTTGCCCAGGTTGGAGCACAGGGGAATTCTAGGGCAGTGAAGCGATTCTGTGTGACACGGTCATGGTGGAGGCAGGACGCTGTGCTTTGGTCCAAACCCACCGAGCTGACAACACTGAGAGGGACCCCTGATGTAACTCTGGGCTCTGGTTCACAATGACTATCGATGTTGCTCATCAGCTGTAACAAATGTACCAAACCAGTGCAAATGTGAATAGTAGAGGGAAGTGTTCATGGGGAGGCAAGGGGGCATTGGGAACTCCCGCCCCTGTGGGCTCAATTTTCTGTAAGCCTAAAACTGCTCTAAAACATAGTCTATTAATTAAAAAAAAAAAAAAAAAAAAGCTGTCATGAAGAATCACAGCGCCCAGACCACTCACATCCCTTTGTGATGAATATTTCAGGTCTCTGGTTTGCTCAGCGACAAAACAGCTTGGATCTGAGTTAAAGTCTCTCACTCCAGAATGAGCCACTCAGCTCCCACAGGGGAGTGGGGGCATTGCCTCCTGGGCGGCTGAGCTGGTGCCCCCGCCGGCATCACCATGGCGGCCTCTGGCCGTCTCGGCTGATGCCCTTTGTGAAGGACACGTTCCCGGGCTGCCCAGGGGTCCTCCGTGGGAAGGGTTTTACTGAAGCAGGTTCCACAAAGCCCTCCTCGACCAAAATAGCTCTGTCCTTGGTCCCCTATGGTGCCACCGTCCACCAAACCTGGCCCAGGCCTGCTGATTCTCAGGACCCGCAAACCTCGGGATGGAAGGGGTTGACCGCCGAGTCCAACCCCTCGTTCAGCAGATGGGGAAACTGCTGGAGGCCCAGGACTAAGCAGGACTGGCCCGGGCCTCCTTGACAGCGGGTGGTGTTTGAGGATGAACCCGTTCTTATCCCGAACAACCTCGGGGCTGTCCTGAAACACTAGTGTCCTCACATGCAGCACGGCAGGAAGGGGGTCTGACTCAGCTTGTGGGTCCCAGCTTCCTCGAGCTCCAGCGGAGTGACCCTGTGCCGTCATCCCGAATGGGAAGGGGCTGAGAGGGCCCTGGGGATGGCTCAATGGCCTGCAGAGGCCAGGCCTGGTGACTAGAGGAAGCAAGCCTGCCTGTGGGGTGGGGCACAGCATCTGCCCCAGTCCCTCTGCCCACAGCAGCAAAGGGCACTCAGTCCAGAGGCAGAATCAGCTCCGGTCATGGTCATGCCGTTTGGGATGGAGATGTGTGAGAGCTCACACATGGACACTGGGGGCAGGAGGACACAGTTTGCCCTTAGGCTGGCATCCCCACCCACCCCCCAGCAGTCTCCCCCTTCTCACCCCCCAGGTCCCCTTCCAATCCCCCGGCACCTTGTTAGGGACTAAATTGTGCCTCCCTCCAAATTTGTATGTTGAAGCCCTAAACCTCAGGATGTGGGAATGTGACTGGTTGGAGAGAGGGCCTTTAAAGGGTGATGAAGTTAAAATGAGGCCCTCAGGGTGGGTCCTGATCCAACATGACTGGGGTCTCTGTAAAGAGAGGAAATCTGGATCCACAGAGAGACACCGGAGGTGAATGCGCCCAGAGGAAAACCACTGTGAAGAAGCAAGAGGAGGGCGGCCATCTGCCAGCCCCGGGGAGGGGCCTCAGAGGAAACCAGACCCACCTTGGCCTTCAAGGGGTCAAGCAAACTTGGATCTTAGACTTCTAGGCTCCAGAGCCGTGAACAAATAGATTTCTGTTGTTTACGCCACCTGGGCCCTAGCAAACGAATACATGCCTCATCCCAAAGCTGGGCATGAGAGGGGAAGGTCAGGGTAGGAGCACCAGTTCAGAGGGGCAGGACTGAATGGCAAGTTTTTGATGATTTCCCCAGAAGCTCTGTCTGGAGCGTTCCTCCGCCAGCCTGGTCCCGGAGACACGGGCACCAGACAACATGCTTCTTTGCCCACCTGGATAACTCCTATCAACCCAGCACTGAAGGCTGTGCCTTTTCCCTGGCCGCCTCATCCTCTCTCACCTCTGAGCTTGTGTTCCTGCAGCCACTCTCTCTCAGCATTTTCAGAGCCTTCCCCCATGCACCTCCTCTAGGAAGCCCTCCTTGCCTGACTCAACATTTAAACCCAGGTCCTTTGTCATCCGTTCATGTGACGTCAGTGTGCTTATCTGGGACAACGTGGTAAAACCTCTGTATAGGGCCTGGACCTCGGTAGCCACTCACCAAATTATAGTTATGACTGTCGTCATATTAATTAGTTATTAACATAATGACAATTGGGTTACTATTAATAAAACTCATGTCGAATGCTGATATTTTCCCCGCCAACCCCTGACTTCTGTGAATCACCCACACCTCACCTTTCCCCGGTCCTTCTTCCTCACCTTGCCCAGCCTCTTGGTGGTCCCCACCACGGCATGCGGGATCCCACACAACCCCCATCTGTACCGGCCTGTCTGTCACCACCAAGACTGACACGGCCAGCTCTGTCAGGGGACACGCTGCCATAACCTGCAGGGCCCACTGGCCCCCCGCCCCCCTGGCCCGGGAAGCAGATGGTCAGAAACTAATGAATCAGCCTGTGTGTTTACCAGCCCCGCGCCTGCTGCTGAGCGGGCTTAATCAACAGCGAGCACGATAAATAAATCCCAAGGCATCGCCAGCACAATTCTCTCCCTCTCGCTCCCATTTCTCTTCCTCCCTTCCACCGCCCTCCCGCCCCGAGATCTTGGAATTCCATTTAACCATTTCGGGGTGCGGGGTGTGTCTCCGGTTGAAGGCGCTGTCCATGCTGAGCCAGTGGTCCTTCCCAAACACCATTCGCTCTTGCCTTGCTTTCCTTCCGTTCTCCCCCAGCGAAGGTTCCCGAGGACGAGCCGGGGGTTGGGAGACCATTTTACCCCAAGCCCCCCTCCCCCCAGGGCTGTGCCTCAGTCTGACAGCTCATGACGGCAGGTGTGAGGGAGGGGCCGGGCTGGAGGGCCGGCGTCTGCCCGCCTTCTTGGTCTGCACATTTCCACCCATCTCCATGAGATCAGACTAATACTGAAACATGATCCAAACAATACCTAGTGCCTAATACCTGGCCTAAAACCAGAAAGTTGGGGTGTTGGAGGCACACCTTTAACTTTTTAGGATGATACCGAAGCCAACGTTTGATATTATCATCGAAAGCAGCAATTATTTTTTTTTAGACATTTCATGAATATTCCCCAAAAAGTAAATAAATAAAAATCATACCCCTGACTAAAAGGTTTGAAACTTTCTCCAAAGAAAAATGTAACACGCCGCATTTTCCATGCAAACTCTGGGGATTCATGGGGTCCTGTCTCCCCAGTTAGGAACCCCTGTTCTGGAGCAGTTAAGGAAACCGGCTTTGGGGTCTGAAAGTCCTGGGTTTAATCTCAGCTCTATCCCTTGAGGCTGTGTGACCTTGAGAATGTTGCTTTACCTCTTTGAATATGTAGTCTCTCATCTAACATCATGTGAAATAATGTGTACGAAATACCTAGAAAACATCTCCAAATGGTAGCAATAATTATTAAACAGCAGCTTCAAATACACTAGCTCAGGGGCTCTCCCAGCAACCTTCGATGGGAAGAAGGAAGGCTGAGGCCAACCAGCTCACTAACGGTAAAACCAGAACTTCACATAAGACACGGACCGCCTTGGGGACTGAGGGCTCAGATGTGCATAATGATCATGCCGTTCATTGCGTGCGAGCCGTGTGCCAGGGCTGGGCTGGGCACTTCGCACCCATTCCTCATGGCCTCCTCCCAGCAACCCCGGGGCGGCCAGTGCTACAGACCGAGAAGCCGAGTACCTGCCAGCCCCCCACGTCACT